GGTCCCTTAGGGAGATGTGGGGAGCTGCCTTCAACAGGGGTGGACTGGGGGGCTCCAGACTCTTCTTGCCCATGAAGTGACCTAGAAAAGAGGTGCCACGGCACAAGGAGGTCAGAGAGCGCGGACACTATCCCAAGGGGAAAGGTCTCCATCTCTCCCACCTTTCAGTTCTCACGGCAGGAAGATTCGAACCTTCCTCCTCCCCAGCCTCCCCACCAAGGAGCCATAAAGACCCCTGGGTGGTGGCAAAGTCTCTACCTCAGTTTTCCTGAACAGGTGAAGGGCGTGGACAGGATGGCACAGCTAAGAGGAGGGTGGGATGGGCCAGGGCCAGGGCCAGAGCCAGGACCTAACCTCGCCAGCTGTGCTACCGGCTGTGCTACCAGCTGAGACGAGGGATGGGAAAGGGCAGGTAAGGAAGTGGGGCATGAAGATGGCTCTGGAAGGTGGGGGTGCAAAGAGAAGACAGAGCGATCAGAAGTCAGTAGAGTCTTCCTTAGGGAAGGGGCACCAGCCGGCAGGCAGATGTAGGATCCAGCCCCAGTTTTCCTTAAAATTGCCTGAGTGATCTTGGCCAAGTCACTGACCTGACGCGTCTCAAGTTCCCCATCTATTCAATTAGCTGAGTTTCACGGTCCCCACCAACCCGGACGCTAATGTCTGTGGCTGAGGAGCCGCTGGAGAAGAAAACGGGGTTGAGGGAACGGTGAGGGTCGCTTTCCAGGTCCGAAGACTTACCGGTGGCCCAGAGGTTGCCCCGCGGGTGCACTCGGATCTTGCTGGCCCGGCTGCGGGGCTCCGGGAGTTCCCAGCTGAGCGGGGCGGCGCCGGCAACGAGCAGAGCGAAGAGCAGGAGGCCGCCGAGCCGCCGCGCGGCCCCTGCCCGCAGGGCCATGGCTGTACCCGGGAGCCGGCTCGCTCTCGAGCACTGAGCAGCGACTAGAGTCCGCGGCGCCCGCCTTCCCGGCTTTTAAACCCGCGCTGGGGGCGGAGCCTGCCCGAGGCCGCCCCCGCCCTCCGGGACCCGCCCCGCCCCACGAGCCCTTCTGCCCGGGTTCGGGTCAGGGGTTCCGCAACCTGCAGCCCGCACTCCTGCCCCTCCTGGGCACCGCCTCCGCGGGCGTTCTGGCCCGAGCCCACCACCTTCAGGCTGAGGACCTGGCCCTCCCTCCCACTCTCACCGGCTTTCGGCCAACGAGGGGTTACTTCGCTTCCAGCCTCCCTTTGTAAGGGTACAGAGGGGGGAGGATGCCTCCCCCTGTGTCACACTGGTGTTAGTGCCCAGCAAAGTGCCAGGCACCTAAGAAGTTCCCTCCCTCTTGGGGACCCTAACCTGTGTTCTCCACTCTCTGCCCTCTCACTGACAGCGCTCACCAGGTGACCTAGAAATCACTGCAGGTGCTGAGGATGGGGAAGAAGAATGATGGATGGTGGGATAAGGTTCACTCCGGCCCCAAGGAATGGGCGCCCTGCTGGGGAGAGCCTGGCCTATCAGCTGGGTGGGAGGCAGACCTCTGAGTCAGGGGAGGGAGCCCTGGACCAGAAGTACACATACAAGCTGTGTGACACCCTGAAACTTCGCTTTCTTCAGCTGTAAGATGGGAATAACCACACTGCTCTATTTTTAATACTTTCACGGTTTTTAGCACAGTTTTGTGGGGCAGGATGCAGTAGTCCTATAGGACTGTTCTCTCACGCGCAGCACTGCCTTCACCCAGGGAGCTGTCCAGCCTTGTGTTGGAACAAACTTTTGTGTCAGTGGCATCACTACAGGAGTAGGGGAAGCAGCTGTGCTCCAGAATGAAATCTTTACTTTAGCTGAGGCGTTTACTGAACACCAGTGTTGAGAGCACTACACTAGGCACTGAAGGAGGGGTGACGGAGTACACACAGGAGTGAATGATGGAGGAACCGGCTACAGACTAACCCCTGGACTCTCGACCCTTCCCTGCATGGTGCGGCCGTGACAGAACCTGCTCAATAATGGGACTGCTGTTAGGCCTGCTAGCTCTATGGATCACCGCCCCAACAAGGGAAGCATGTATGCAAAGCTGCTTGTCTTGCCGAGCTCACAGAGGACACACAGGACGGGGACACTCCATTTCCAGGCCTGGCTTTTTCCCCTATCTCCATGCTTATCATCCCCCACCCTGGCATTTACACCTCTCTGCATTCTTGTCACTGCTTAGCCAGGGTTTACAGATATAGCTCTTACCACCTTCCCATAATAGTCATCCCCTTTGTGACCCCCTCCCTTTCCTCTGCACCAGCCACACACCCATCCTATCTTGTCTGGTCCACCGATGTAGTAATTGGTGGCAACACACAGGAGCAGGCATTGAATGCTGCCTCTCTTAAATGCTTGAAGGAACCTTATTTGGTAGATTTATCTCTCATTTTACAGGTGGAAACAGGCTCAGAGATTGAGTCACTTGCCCAGATGTGACACTGGAATCAGACTTCCGGTCTGTATGGATTACTCTATCAGGGACCCAAAGTTGTATTGGGCAGACATTGCTCTTCCTAAACCACACCCACTCTGTTTTACCATCCTGAGTTTAAACAAGTTGGTTTAGATTTCTCAAGGGGAGAGTGCAGGCACTGAATTTAGTTTCACCACTCTTCAGCAGGTGACCCTGGGATTCTGCTCTGACAGGTTCATTTATACTTACGCCAAGCCTCCTCTGACATGGCCTGGGTTCACAGCTCCAACCACATCCTAGAATGACCCCAGATACCCCTGGGATCATTTTATTGGTCAGCCTAGCACAGGAAAAAAGCGGCTTCTGAGGACCATGAAGAAAAGAAGCAGGGCAGCAGCTCCACAGCCAGCTATGAGTCTCAGGAATGAGAAGCATTAAGCACAGCAGAGAGGGTAGCTTGTCCAAGACAGCACTTTGAGCAGGATCTCCAGGGACTACTAGGCTCTGGTTTAGAACAAGGACCTCAACTGCCGACTGCTTGTTCCCCACGTTCACTGCGATGGCAAAAGACGTCCAAAGGCCTCCATTCCACTGGGAAGACGGACAGTGAATCACATGGAGGTGCGTGGAGAAGCTCTTCAGAGCTCACTCTTGACCCTTCCCAGGTTTCTATAACATTCCAGTACATCCACGGAAAATGTAGAGAAGATTCATAGGACAAAAGATTAAGGCAGGAAAGATGCATGGCTATTCCTGCTATAACACCAACAAAACATTTAAACTGCACCATGGTTTTAAATCCAAGATTGCTTGAAATAAAAGACACGTATATTATTGTTTGCTGTATTTCCATTATATTGGAAACCATTAAAATAACACCTTTCACAACTGAATCTTTGTTTTTCAAAATCACTTGCATGCTCCTTTGATCACCAACACTATTTTGATGTAGTAAGGACTAGTAATTATGCTCATTTTATAGATGAGTTAAAGCAAGTTAGTTGCAGAGAAAACCAGAGTGTGGCCTTCAAACACACAAAAGGTACAGAGGACAACAGAGAGTTGAAAGCAGAAATTTAAATTAGACATAATGAGTCTCATAAGAAGAAATGAGGACAAATGTAGAGCTGCTCAGAATAAGAGTGTAAAATCGCTCTCCTGGCAAACCCCCGAGCACAGATCCCCACCTGTGCCGGCTGGGAGACGATGAGAAACATCCTGGGACATCTCAGATCTGCTCTTTAGTCTCAGAATGGGGAAGGAGCTATAGAATCAGGAAAACGGAAGACCCTTTAAGAGAGGCGGAAGGGAGAATCAGGGATACCTGATATAATTTCCCAAAGTCAGAAGGAACACAAAGGGATTAGCTAGAAAGTCACATCGGTCATTAATAAGGAAATAATTCAGAAACTGAAATTATCAAAATACAAAAACTTTTTAAGACAATATTCATAAAAAGAGAAAATATCTACATCTAAGGATAAAGTGACAATTCCAAAGGTGGCTAAGAAAGCTAAGGTAACTGCTGCTCAGCGAAATGGCACAGATACTCAGGGAAGTCATGAAAACCTAAGAAAGCGAGAAGCCCCGGGCCCAGCCTTCATAATGATTTGGCTGTAACAGTCACATATAGCTGAACTTCAAAGAGGATCAAATGCTTGGCAACCTGCTTGAGGATCTCACTGTTTCTGGATTTACCAATCTGACCAAATCTGAAGAAGAACCACCGAGGGCCCCTAAAGAATCCCAAGGGCCTTGGAATGGTAGTGTTTACTCTAAATGAGATTGTCATTGGACCGTACAAAAGGACTGGGTTATGTATGACACCCAGCACGGTGACATGATAAAAGCGACTGACTTCGAGGTCTGGCTCTGCATTCACGGGCCAGAAGATGCAGGGCCAGTCTAACTTCTGGTTTCTCTCTTTTGTAAAATGGAGTTTGTTTTGAGGACTAAATAAGACAAAAAAAAAATTTGTTATAAATTCAGAAGCGCTTAGCATGGCAAATGCAATTTCTAAGTACTCGATATTATTAGCTGGATCCTGGGAAGTGCAAATCTTGCTTTAAATCTGAAGTCCAGCACAGGGGAAAAGAGGCTCCCTGGACAGCAGCTATGGCCCTGGTGTTGACACAACAGTTAACGAAATGCCTATCACATCGAGAGTTACTTGATAAACTAAAATGCTAGACTATGTACCTACCTGCACCAATTCTAAGAAACAACTTCTATACAGGGTTCTCTCTTTTTCCACTTAAATAAGTTGTCAGGCTGACAGCTTTGATCACACGTCATGCTGCCTGATCTACTTACTTGCCTGACGTAAGTCCTGAGTACAAATCCTTTAAACTAGACTCCTTGAATTACATAGCTGGAACCCAGCTTACCCATCTAAATAAAGTGGCCAATTAAAGTAAGGGTTCTAGACAAATGATTCTTAATCGAGTGTGGGTGGCATTCCAAAAACTCCTATAAATAAAAACCTATAGTTTGAAACTCATATTCAATATAACTGAATAGGAGAGAAGAGTAAGTATTGCTTTTGTAACACAAACAAGAAAAAGCAAGATAAAATATTCTCGGCTGGTGAGGATAAGAGGTTGGATAAACAGACTGAAGGGGATTTTATCAGAATGGAGAAGTAGTATGAAATTTTATGTTTCTTAAAAGAGGCCATGTGTTTTTAAGGTTAAGAAACACCGTTTTACAGGAAAGCTAGTTGAAGGCTCCTGGTTGATTAGGTGGGTAGCGGGTCTTCTGTGAGGTAGCTCTCCGCAGAAGTTGCCAAACTATACCTACGTTAAAGGAACATGCTCTGAAACAGCTCTGTGAAGATCATCAGGCTGATTCACACAGGGATTACTGGATAACGTCACACAGTGCCACTGCAGTCAGGTCCCAGAAGAGAAATTTCTTAGTCCTTGGCATCATGACAAGTTTTTTTTGTTGTTGTTTTTAATTCTATTATGCCTATTCCATAAAGCACAGAAATGATTATTTCCCTTCTTGATTACACAGAACTCTTTCTATGTCCAGACTCACCATAGCTGTGTGTGAAGGGTCCTATTTGTTGTTTTATTTCTAAAAGCTGATCTGATATTCCTTAGAGTTCTAGTAAGGGACAATGGTGACAAACATGCACCTGCCAGGCCGTCCTGACTGAAGGAGCATCTGGCGGAGGGTGGACAAGCCATTCAGCCACCAGAATCAGCTGCATCATTTCTGAAGCTCAACAGAGATGCATGTCATAAGAAGGCTGCCCTCAGATGCTGAGCTAGCCCCCCTACCATGTTCTGAGGGGTCACAGGGCACACTTCTGCAAATGACCAACAAATACACTCAAGGATAACAGAGCCTTTATTCCAAGCCTAGGCTCTCTGAGAAGCCAGCGACTCCCTAAGGGACAAACACCAATACTTCTCTCATCGAGAAAGAGAACACAGGAAGAGTCTAAGGACACATACACAAAAGAAGAAATTAGGATTAACATCAAAAATTCTAGAAAGGGAACATGGTTCAATGGAACCATGGAGAAAGTTTTCAAATTTGGCAAGACCAAGATAATGTGCTTAGTAAATAACAGGAAAGTACAAATCCCTTTAATGATTCATTCATATGCTCTGTCCCAGAATAACAGCTCAACAATAATGCCACCCGAACTTACAGCTTCTGGTTCCAACGCAAGGTTATACTGAACATTTAGTACCTGCTGCGAGATGCTACAGGGAAAACGGAGTGCAGCATCTACCCAGGGCTCCTGCGCTGGACGAGTTTAGAATCTGATGGGGGAACTTGAGGCCATATCCAAAAACTTGCACGAATAGCATAAGGCTGCACATGCTGAGTGGCAGAAGAAGAACGATGACTTGGTGAAGAAAGGGAGACTCAGACAAGCAGAAACAAGAATATGAGAAGAGTGGAAATACAGTGGTCTGGCACAAGGATGCTTAATGTCAGCTGAATCCGAAGTCTGAACTTTACACGGAGGTAATATGTAGGGTAAACAAAATTTATGGTCCAAAAAGAGACTCTTCTTAGAGTAAAGGGGATACTAAAATTAACAGGGGAAATGATCTAAAATAGGCACAGACTTTCACATAGCAGGGAAACTGAGACATATAATCACCTAAGCAACAGGAAATCACTGAACATGCTTCTGGATTCAGGTGATGGCAATGAGAACGGAATGATGGGGTAAATGCAGGACTTATAAGTGACTAAATATGGTGGGAAAATGAAAAATCTAGGTGACTGTTCCTTCAAAGAAAAGGCGAAATTTGGAGGGGAAGTTTGCAGGAAGTGCTATGAGCTTAAGTTTACAGATGGGCCAGTCGAGTGGAAGTGTCCAGTGGGAATGGAGACATGGGACCAGAACTGAGGATAGGCATCAGAAAATAACATGTAGAGACCTAACAGTTGGAGTAATGAGTGTGGATGATAGCCAAGAGACAATGCCATTGTCGAATTCCCATCTGAAGTTTTACCAATTCTTATTCTCTTCGATTCCCTTCACTCACAATGGTTAAGTCCTCCCAGATCTCAGAGAGCTTACGATTCCATTGAAACACTAAACTAAACATCTCTGGCATTTCTTACATTTTCAAAGAGCTTTTTAAAATACATTATATTTACAAATACTACCTCTCAGTTTTAAGTCTTATGTTTTAGCTCTAAGCTAGACAATATAAAAACTGGGAAAATAATACCTGTCTCCACAAATAATCTTTTTAGTTTGGGTTAATAGAGCAATTCGAGTATTTTTGCACGATTTCATTACTTTTCAGAGAAATTTAGCTGTTGCTTCTAACTAGAGCATCCAGCAAAAGAGGGAAAATAGTAATTTCAGAAAACTGGGTGTGAAAATATGCAAGTGAGGAAAACATTAATGATTTCCTCCCAATAAGTGTATGTGGAGGAGAAATCTGAACAGCGGAGGATACAAGGATGAGGACGTTCACACTCAGGTGAGCTGGGATGGCAAAGAGCCCCGGGATCCCAACTTTGGCTGACTTCTCCCCAGGGGAGTCTCGGGAAGGCTGGTGGGAAAGCAGAGCCAGGACCCTGATTCAGCAGAGCAGCTAATCCCATTCTCCGCAGGTGATTAAGGAGGAGAAATGGAGTAAGTAGCAATTTTCTGCCATTCCACATGGGGTCGGGGGCTATTTCAGCAATCCTCTTGGCTCATGAGGAACGGAAACACTGTATCAGCCTCACAGACAGGTTCAAGGAAGTGCTTGTTAGCAGTGATTTGCCAAGTTTCATTCTCTGTTGGGATCATTAAGAGCTCGAGTGCAACGCTTGAGGGCTAAAGCCTTGTTAATGGATTTAGGATGGCAGTGCTCTCCACAGGGGAGGCCTTCGGAAGATTAACTGTCCCTATTCTCATTCCATTATCATTACAGTATGAGCTGATTTCCACTTCGGTTGAACAAACAGCAATTGTGCATTTAGCCCAACACATTAAGCTTGCTTGCTTTGAGATTTCACATTAATACTCGAAGAGAACAGAAAGAATTAAGAGTATTTTGTGCTTAAAACACATTGGCTTACCCTACTCTCTCTATTTCCCTAACTGCCTCAACAGTAAAATAAGAAAAACACACTGGGCTTTGCATTCGCTACTTGAAACCTCACCTTCTGCAGTGTGCGCGAGCAAAGCCAGACGCTGAAGGGGACAGGTCCAGGCAAACTAGAGTTTAAAGAAAACGAGTAGCCTGAGTAGCCTGCTTGCCCTCCGGCGCCCTCCTCGTGCCTCCTGCAGATGCTGAAACACTGCCTTCGTGTCCACAGGGCTGAGAATGTCTCAAGTGTAGAAAGGTTATGAGTCTGTACAGCAAAGTGAGATTGTCTGAAAGTCTCAGCAACACGGGCTGTAGTTATACACATCTGAGTCACATCTTAGTGAAGAATCAATTTTATGACTAAGACATTTTCTATGAACATCAATGGCTACTTCTGCTTCACAGAAACAAAAGCACAACAAACAAACAAACAAACAAACCAGAAACGGTATTGGTAGTATTGGGGCAACCTTCTAGCTGAAGGACCATTCACATCAGAGCCTTCATCTCCCCTGGGGTGCTCCAGCACAGGAAAGCAAAGGCAGCAGCTTTCCCGACAAACACAAGTCAGGGATAAGGGGTTCGATATGCAAAGTCTTTTATTTAAAATTTTGAAAAGTTAAGACTTCCAACCACCTCAGTATATGCCATTCCCATTAGAACGGGGAATGACAGCTTGGAACTCGTGCAGAGCTGCATGTTCACTCGCGGAACTCTGTAGGCACTTTAGAAGTGAAGCTTGGCTTCAAAATACAAACACTGGGGGCTTTGGCTCAACCTTTTAATATAAAAAATTCACCGATGTACAAAAATGTGAAAGTGTGACAATGACAACATATGAAATCCTGTGACTGAAAGTCCCCTCCAGTGCACGCGGTGGTGCACACGCACCCGCCCACACAGACTCTGGCGTGGAAACACAAACTAAAGCGAACCAGGGCTACCAAGAAGTGCCACCATGTGTGCTCGCCACTCCGCCAATCACAGACCAATATCTACTCCAAACATCAGTAACACAAAGCACGGCATCTTCCGGGAACAGCGAGGCAGACTTCTTACTCACGATGGACCAGCACAAACAAACCCAGCAAAAAGAGTACCGCGTACTAGAAGAGAAACACAGAGCCACAGTCAGAGAAGCCTTCGAAGTGCCCTCGTCCTGAGTTAATAAACTGGCCTTTGTGACCATGACACATTACTCACCTCCCAGCTAGTTTTCCATCTTTTAACTGAAATCTATATAATAGTTTCTAAAATTTAGCAAAAGATCATGTTTTTAATGAAACGTGCTGTAGAGGATCTTACCTTAAATTTAGGATAGTCATTCATGAGGATCGTCACAATCCCAATATAAGGAACAAATCTAAACAAACAAACAAAAAACTGATCGTCACCAAACTTCCCAAGTAGCCGTTATCTTTTGCTGAACGTTCTCAGTATCTTCCACAGAAAACTAATTTTCATAAAGCCTATTGTGTACACACGGTCCTATTAGGTCCTTTCAATAGCCCAGTGACAGGAAAGTTAGGGACATCGCCATTTTATAGATGAGGAAACATGCTCGTGCCCACCGCATGTTGCTTCTGTGCAGCAGAACCAGTACCAGATCCAGGCTCTCAGACCTCTGCTTGGCGACTCTAACGCTACATGCTGCTTCAGGGCTGGGGCTGGGGCTGGGCTGTCGTCATGAGGGAGCGGGCCATTGTGTTAGTGTGGGGTACGCAATGCATCCAATCCGGAAAGACCCGAGGGAGTCAGAACCTAGCAGTCCCGAAAGTTATTTTTCCTGATGCTGCTTCAGCAGGGGGGCTGGGGCTGGGCTGTCGTCATGACCTGCAGGGAGCGGTCCATCCAGTTGGGGAGACAAGCCAAACACGGCCAGAACATTACAAGGTACTCCATGCTAAGTGTCCAGAAAGTGAATGTAAGATTTCCTCTTGTTTTTTTAACCACCTGCAACCTGGCCTTGGCTCTGTTAACCCTGAAACTCTGTACAACAGTTTAAATCACCACATGTAGCAGCCCAGTCTCAGCTCTCGTCTTTGTTTACTCTGCAGCATTTGACTCTGATGACCACAAACTTGCCCTTGAAACCCCTTTTGCCTTGGTTCCTGTAATATACCACAAATCTATTTTAACCCCTACCTCTTTGGGTGCTACACTTTTGTGTTTTTCACTAGCTCTTTCTTTCCTCTTGCTCCTAACATTTGTCCCCTCAAACTAGGTAAAACCATCTGTTCAATAATCTCATAGTGCCTGATGTTTCCTTTGAAGTCTTCGTCACGATTTTAATTACATAATTAGCTGTATAACTACCTGTATAGCATCTATCTCCCTTAAGCTCTGTAGGGCCAAAAACGATGCCAATCTTGTTCCTCGCTGTATCCTCAAGGCCAAACATATAACACCTCGCACACAGAAGGCATCCAGTAAATACTGCCTGACTGAATGTTTGAATGTCCAGGCCTGTTCTTTCTTCTTTCCCTTGGGGATCCCATTTTCTCCCAGGATGTCAATTCTCCCTTGAATGCAAAGGACTCCTCAACCTCATAAGAATGCAGGGGAGAAAGAGAAAGTTAGCAGGGTGCCATCCAAGTGCGAGAAAACAGCACTGGACGCCAAGTGACTGGGTGATACTGTCCTAGAGCCTGTCCAAGAGGAGACAGGTTAGGCTGAAGTGGAGACTGACCTTTGCATACTTTAAATAGCCCAGATACTTTTATTCAGAATGTCCAACACCTCTGCACCACACCAAAGGTACAAAAACAGAAATTACCTCCCACATAACACTGCCACCATCGAAGCCTTAGGTAAACTTAAAAAACAGAAGTTTTGTCTTTGGTACATTTCACTTCCTTTTAAGAACTCTTCTTACTTCCTGTCTCCTGTCCTCACCCTGTCCTGCCCCTCTCCCTTCTGGCAGCATTACTCAGACCCATCTCTCTCTCTCCCCACCCCATAACTCCCATTCCATAAACTAGTATTTCTTAAAACCTAGACTTTGTCAGAATCACTTGGATAGCTTGTTAAAAATGCAGCTGGCTGTATCTTCCTCAGATTTACTGAGTCGAAGCATCTCTGGAAGGGGGTGCCCAAATGATGTTTCTGCACACTTAAGTACAGGAAGCACAGTTCTAGCAAGAGAGATGAATGGAACAGGTATGGGGCGGCAAACTTTAACCCCTCTCACGACCCACTCTTTAGCTTCAACCCCTGGGACCTGGAAGAGCTGAAAATAACAATCACTGCAAGATGGCACAGCCAACCTCTAGGAAGGCGGGTGGAGACTCTCTGTATTTTTAATACACATATTTTTCTTTTTACTGTGATAACTCTGTTATCTCTTTTGTCCCATTTATAACACCTTCATAAAAGCAACAGGTTAGGTAAATCATCCTCTAATTCCACGTGATGATCAATCGGCAGTCATCTCACGGGTAGAGACTTCTGCTGTTACCTCCATGCAATGGTATCGATACTCAAAGAACCACAACGTTCAGCTCCCAATGGTCACATAGTCTGTGAGTTTTCCATGGAAAGATTTTTTTTTCCTAAGGTTGGTTCTTCCTTGCCACCATGAGTGAAATGGAAGCACCTTGATCTTTAGGAGTAATACAAACAAAACATAAGGCTGCCAGAATACGATAGGCAGTCTGAAGTCAAACAAGACTTAATTATCTGTATCACTGTTTTCCCTCCATGGACAGAGACGGCAAAGAATGCATAATGCTGCTGTCATCAGTTATCTTAATGCAAATCAATTGCACTTTTCTCCTACCCTGCTCAGATAAAGTCTGCTAAAGCAAGGTTGATGATAAACAGAAAAAATAAGGTTTAAAATAAGTAAAACAAATGCCACCAACAAATCCAACTCCAACACTAGCCTGTGCCAAGTTAGCATCTAGAAGGCAGAGTGTGGATATATACATGCCCTGGGTGTTCTGGGAGCAAAGTGCTGCTGACAAAGTAGCCTCAGAAGGGAGCACTATCTAATGGAAGAAAATACTTTTGTCAGATGTTAAAAGGGGTTTATATCTACGGAGTTTGGACACCAGTAGTTGACTTAAAAAGGATCATTGTTTCTATCCCAAAATAATCTGTTTCAAATAAAAAGTACCTTTTAAAAGCCTCATCCATAAAACTGATTTCGGTCAGAAGAACTCAATAACTCTGCTATTTCCTTCTATATTTCTTCTTCTTCCCATTGTCAGTATTCCTATCCCAACCTACCAGCTGTCATTCTTTTCTCCCATTGCTCTCTACTCTTCCTTGACTACGAGGTTCCCTTGTTTTTCAACTCCCCGAATTTAGAAAGAATCACCCTGACTAAAGACTTAGTTGGTTCAGAATTAGTTTCATTTTCTAAAATCGTTTTTATTATATATCACAACATGAACAAACCTTGAAAGCGTTACGCTGCTTGAAAGAAGCCAGACATAAAAGACCATGTATTGTAAGATTTTGTCTATATATTATGTCCAGAACAGGCAATCACAGAGACAGAAAGTAGATGAGTGGTTGCCAGGGGTTACAAGGAAAAGGGGATGGGGAGTGACTGCAAATGAGTACAGAATTTTCTTTTTGGGGTGTGGAAATGTTCTGGAATGAGGCAGTGGTGATGGTTATACAACTTGCAAATATAATAAAGCTCAAATAATTGAACTTTAAAATAGTGAATTTTACATTCCAATATATGTGAATTACATTTTAACAAAAAAAATTTTAACTTATTTTATTTAGGGTCTTAGGCTTCAGTGTAAAATTTTTAGTGTGCAGCTGTTTGAAAATAATTTTTTTTTTTTTAATGCGTAAAGACATTTGTACCACAGTCACCAGAATGATCTGCGGAAAAGCTCTATTCTCAAGGTCTGGGTGCAGTCTGACTTTGAAATATCAATTTAAGGTTTTATAAACACAATTTCCACAAAAGGAAGTGATAGGCCCCATTATGTGTCAGGTAAGTCGTGGTATAATCGACGGAAACTGAATTTGTAAAGTTAAGATCCTGTGCTCTGGCTGTTCATGCCCAGATGTTTATACTTTATGGAAAGTTACTTAATTCGGAGAATACCAGGCTATTGCATCTTTAAATTAAAAGCCACAAGAAGGTCTATATCTTCAATGTTGGATTTTAGAAATTACATTGTATATCATTTGGGATATTTCAAAAATTCTCTCTTTTTTTTTTACGCCTACGGCACCTGGTCTTCCTAGGTGGCCTCCCATCCAAGTACTAGCCAGACCCAACCCTGCTTAGCTTCCGAGTTCAGACGAGATCGGGCACGTTCAGGGTGGCATGGCCATAGACAAAAATTCTTTAGAAAAATTCTTTAGGTTACTTGAGTGAAAGCCTGGCTCCTCCACCCTTTCGTAGGACAATACATCTTTTACCCAAACAGGGCCCCAGTGAACAGGCAGAGCTGCACTGAACACCTAAGAATCAAGGTCCAGATAAAGGGCCACTCTGATATACTGGCAGAAGTATAAATAAAACAGTATGGCAAAATTTGTCAAAAGCTTTAAAATATGCACGTGTTTCACTTAGTAATTACGCTTCTAAGAATTTACTGTGAAGAAGAGATGATTGGACAGAAGCACTGACATATATGTAACGAGATGCTCTTCATCGTTCGCCATTTTAAAAAATGGAAACAATCAGAGCACCCAACGAGAGGAAACTGTCTAAATAAAAATATGATCTTTCCACATAGTGGAACAGCACACGGCTTTAAAAGTGACGATATGGAGATAAAGCTTTTGGTTTGTAAAGATACTAATAACTTTGGAGGATGAAAAAAGGTTATAAACAGTGTGTCCATTCTTTCCCAGTACACAAAATGTGTTCACATATGTACAGACACATATACGTTAGCATCTGCGTCATTATACATATACATTATACTAAAAAAACATACATCAACAATTTAAATATTTATGGAGAAAGAGTGGAAGGAGAGGAGAGGTGACTTGGATTTTCAATGATTATTTCCTTATGTTTCTACATGAATCTGTACATTTGCAATTAAAGGAAAAACAAAAAGACTCAAAAAGGCTGATGAGTCTGAATAACCATGACAGCAACATCTTGAGAACTGAGAGAGATGGGGACAATGACTGCTCAGAAGCACTTAACGATCTCAATTAGATTGTAAAGGTATGTTTGGCTCTATCACAGGAAATGAAGTTCCCTTGAACTGTAGGCATGCACAAAAGAAAACCCAGCTATGCAGAAGACAAAACACATGGGTGCTTGTTCTGATCCAATCTTTCTGGCCCAAACTGAGTCCCTCTCATGCTGTAATGGAGGCCGCTTTCACGCTCAGCTATGCAGAAGACAAAACACATGGGTGCTCGTTCTGATCCAATCTTTCTGGCCCAAACTGAGGTCCCTCTCATGCTGTAATGGAGGCCGCTTTCACGTAAGAACGCGCACCTACTTCTCTATGGGAACCGTGCTCCTCAGTGTAGTGCCCTGTTTGCTAATAAAATCACTCTGAACCCACACTGCAGGTTCTAAGTCAGGAAGAAGGAGCAGACGTTCCGGCAGTGCTGAGTGCCGTGAGGCATCTAAAGAGTGAGAGCCGGCAGCCGCCGTCACAGAAGCGTTATGCCGGCGGTTCCGGTGTGACGTTAAGAAGGTGGGCTCCGAGTCAGCCAGCAACTTATCATCAGTGTGATCTTAGATAAGCAACCTAACTCGTCTGTGTTTCCTCATCTGTAGAATGGAAATATTAGGGTTGTTCTGAGGTTAAAATGAGGTAATAATTGTAAAGCACTTAGAATAAGTCTCTGGCACATAGTAAGCCCTAATAAATGTGAGTTATTGTTAATACTATTAATAGCATGAAGGTAGTTACAATCCCATACTTCCTCATACCAATAACTTACAATTCCTGTCCTCCACTGATCTGTTCTCCTGATAAAATCTGAAATAAACAGGCTTAATATAACTTTTTAATTTCATTTGACCTCCATCATTTCAAGACTAGATATACAACAGTATGGAATAAATTAGCATGATACAATTAATTTAGATAAATACTTTAAGTTGCTGTCTCAGTGAACACTTAAGAAATGTACGTTTCGTGAAGCAGGATTAATACCGCGCTGGGTCCCCAGAGCCCAGCCGTGTACAGACTGAGTGCATGCAAGGTGCCCAATCACACCTCTTGAATGAATTAAATAAACAAATGAATTTTTTAAACCGTCACTCTAATTCATTGTCTCATCGCTAATCTTCTACTATCGCACCCCATTTTCTCACCTTTGGAGCAGTGTACCTGAAGTTTTAGATGCATTTTAAGAAGCGTATTTTTTCAAAGGATACAAGGCGATTTGGTAGAACCAGGACCGAACCATCGTATTCATCGTCTGTGGTCAGACAATACAATTGAGAGGCCCACGTTTCCAGTGACACGAAAAGCTCAGCAAATGCTCCCCTCGGTACTTACCCCCTCGCTCTCCCCACGACATCTTTTTTCTCTAGCCAGTGTTGTCCCTGTTTATAGAGTCCTCGATCATCAACCGCATTATTATCTCCTTTGGTCAAAAACTTGATATGTCCGTTTTGCCTTAAAAAGGTAAGGGAAACCCGAGTCATCAAATACCTTCATGTCATTTAAAAGCACAAAATTTTCTCATTAACCAAAATTCCCATGGGAATTTGGTTTATCATTATTTCTAATATCGAAATTATTTAGCTAAAAGGATGTTCATAGGCTGTGTAGTTTATAATAGGGAAAAACTGGAAAAAAGCTAAAAGTCTAACATTCAGGAGTTGAAATACTATGCAAGCATTAAGTACGATGTTACAGAAGAATATTTAATGACATTGGAAGAACACAGAAATTGTATTAAGTGAACATTATAAAATTACATGTACAGTGTAATCTCATTTTCATATTAAAATAAACACAAACCACCAATTTTCTGGAAATACAAAGAGAAAAGGAACACATTAAACTATCCCATAGGATATAATGAGCAAAACGAATATTCTGCGAATCCACAGAATGACCTAGTTTCTTCAAACAATAAGAAACAAAGAAAATTGAAAAAGGAATTTACAGATTAAATAAAAGAGACTATAAAGCTATATCAACCAATCGCAACTGAGGAACTTATTTGAATCCAGATTCAAGCAAACTGAAAAAAAAAGTTATAAGACAACTGGGAATTTGAACAAAGATTGGAAATTTAATACTACAAAGGAATGACTGTTAATTTTTTTAAGGTATTGCCATACTAACTATATTGTTTTTTAAAAGCTCACCGATTATGTTTCATAGATATTTACTGAAATATTTACATATGACAGGACACGATATCTAGGCAGAAGAGGGGGAAGAGGTGGCAGTATAGGTGGGGCAGAATTGGCCAGGGAGTAATAATTATTGGGACTGGGTGATAGGTACATGTGAGTTTATGCATTGTTTTATCTACTTTTATGTATATTAGAAATGCTCCATATTTAAAAAAAAAAAAAGGCAATAACAGCATCTTACTTGATCAGAGAATTATTAGTTTAATCCTACTAAAGAATCATGAAGTTTCTAGTAATTTTAAATATTAACTGAAAGCAAAGAACATTTTACAGTTGCTAAAGCCTCTTAAAATTAATTCAAGTGAGTTTAGGTTAACCACTATACTAGAAAGAAGAAAATTAGCTTCAGATTCTGACTAATATCCACTTAGATTCTAAGCCGGAAACTGGCTCACTAGACACTAAATCTGCAGATACAACTAAATTCGGAGGTGCTGTAAACACCAAAAACAGTTAGGTGCAAACAGTCACATTACAAATGAGATTCCAATTAGAAAAAATGCAAATATATACAGAGAAAAATAATCTGCAGCTGACAAGTCAGTAAGTAACAGGATGTCTGAAAAATGCTGGAAAGTAAAAGGGAACAAGTGCCAAGAGGGGTTAGCTGCAAGAGTGAAAGTCAGGAGCAGCAGGAAGGAAGAATCATTCAGTCATGAAAATAACAGCAACCCCATAGAGGTAAAAAAGTAAAACCAAATATGAAGAAAGACTAGGAATTGGGAAAGTCCCCAGGAAAGGAAAGGGATGCTACGGGAGACGTGGGTTATTCCCAAAGACCTGATCTGCCTGCCAAACAGACAAACAAACCCAGTTTCCTTCCATCTACTTACCAGTGAAACGAACGGCCTCTGGTGGCAAGCAACTCCGATTGGCCCGCTCTTAGACCTGCTCCAGCATTTCACGACTCACAGGCCCAAAACACTGATGGCCGGCACATTTATACAGGACTTTTCCCTTGCTAGCACAGGGACCAAACATTTAATATTATCTACTCCCAAGGAGCTCTACATGCTTACAATTTAATTCAACCCTCGTAACACAATGATGGTAGCAGGGAGGAAATAAGCGCTTTATAGATGGTAATAAACTATGTAATATGTTTATAAAACAAAACAGGAGTTACCCAAAATGTAACATTATCTCTGGGTTCTAGGATTACAAGTGATTTTGTTTTCTGTATTTTCCAATTTTATGCAGCATCATGTATACGAATATACATGTAATAAGAATGTTCTCAAGATGGGAGATTTAATATATGAAAAAAAGAGATTTGCATGGCATTTACAAATTTACAGGCACCTTACACAGAAGCAAGTGGAGAAGGAAAGGAGGAATGAGACAAAAGAGAGTTAGGTCAGTTAACAATGTCTACTTCTAGTCTTCTTAAAGCTCAGGATTTCCTTTTTTAAATTTTTTAATTTTTATAAGAGTTTATTTGAGCCAAACATACACCAGGGAGCAATATCTCAAATGTTTCCCCGGATTTTCTTTCTTATGAAAGAAATGAATAACAGTGCAAAAATCAAGACTGAAAACATTTAGAACACACTGACTACAAAAACTTAATCCATTTTGGCTGTCATTTGGTCCCACATGTAAGAACAGTGTTAATACTACTAAATCATGATTATTGCAACCAGGTATTTTAGTCTCCACACAAAAAAAGAGGAAATTGCAAACTTCAGAATATTAATAAGATGGTATATAAAAAAGCTTGAAAGTTAAAGGCATCTCAAGAGTCTAAAATAAATCACGAAAACCCCCAGATTACAAGTACCACACACCTTAAAATAGTCAGAATAGTTAAAAATCATTTTTACAATTTAATGAATCTGTAGTTGCTACAACATCTGTCAATGAATCTGCCCTAAAACAAGATGAACTGTTTTAAAAGAAAAAAAAACTCACTCAATTTCAAACCATCACACATAAAAATGGATAATTTCTGCTCTACCCAAAGCAGGGCCTGGGTTTAATTTGATTTTCTTGGATAAATTCAGGGGAAAGTTGGTTCTGTTATGTTCAAAACAGGCAATGCTGAGAATAAACAACACAAATCCACTTTAAGAATCTGAAAAACACTACTCATACTTAATAAACCTTCACAATTCCAAAATAAATTTTTTAAAAATTAAGTTATTCTTTCTTAGTTAATAGAATGCTATTTAAAAATTATCAACTTTCAAAATATATACTCCGTGAAGAAAAAGAGCAGTCAGATCTTTATTTCATCAATGAAGAACTCTGCTAAACGAGGGTGTTTATAGGGATTTTCAAAAAGCAACAACTGGCAATTGCCTCTTCTTTAGGTGAAGATAAACTACTTCAGAGGGTTGAAAGAGTGAGACGGTATCTATTTAGGCTTCCTCGTACTCAGGAACCTATCAACCCCACCGTCTCACTCCCCTCTGTGTCCTCCAGGATGCCTCCCTTTCCCTTCATTTCTTTCTTTCCTTCCCTCTGAAAGTTTTCCTTAATTAGACCTACTACAGATTTGGAAGGGAGGGCCAGAGGTCTATGTAGTAGGACAGGAAAGCACGGGCTCAGAACTCCGAGATCTTATTCATTTTCCTGAACCTCTTTATACTACAGACAAGGAAACTGAGACCCAGAGAAATGAAATGTTTTGCTCATTGGTAGGACCCAACTCCACCCCCGGGCGATTCTAAAGGTTTTACATATTCTAAAATGCAAGAGTCCATATTTAAAAGAATAACTTAGACTTTAGAAATTTTCTTCAGAATTCTAAAAAGTTGATAAATGTATTATATGAAATGTCTGTTAGATTGCCTTAAAGATATTTAAAAAAAGATTAAGGCTACCTCATTCATTGTATCAGAAGATTCCATTTGGGATCAACCTTTACGTTATTTTTGGAGGGGTGTTGTATATATTACCGATATATATGTGCAATAACAGTATACGGCCGTTGTGAACTTTGTCCACAGTGAGGACAACTGATGTCACAAAATGCAGCGACTATGTTCCTCTATCCTCTCAGAGGCTCGAGGACCACAGCAGAAAAGGAGGGTGAGTGAGACTGCAAGGGCTGATCGTGAGGGGAGAGTGTTAGGCAAAATGGTTGATGTGACCAATGCTGTCCTAAGAAGCGAGCTGCTCTCAGTGACCACCAGTTCACTCCGGGAAGGGTGGGCCCGAGTCACCTGAAAGGAACGTTCTTACAAAGATAAGTAGCCCCTTAAGTTGTTTACTACTTTGGAATATTTAGGGTTACTGATTTGGTCGGGAAGTAGAAGGGAACCCCAAAAAACCTTCAGGGAAATAAATGAATTAATAGATAACGATTTAGTTTTCCAAATGCTCACCAAGCCTTCAGACATTCATAAAAATGGATTGGAAGAAGGACCTAGGAGTTTCTCACCCGTTCTCAGTCTTTAGGCTATCAAAATTAAACACTATAAACACCAAGACATAAACATATTTTAAAAGAGAGAAGATATAGTTTGCACGTACTTTTCATGAATCTTCAAGACTCGGTGAACGATAGGAATCTCTCTTCCTTCTATCCTAAAAACAACAATTTCTCCCACTCGTATGGGATCTTCAACTCGATTTGTTAGAAAGAGAAGATCTCCTCTATGAAATGCAGGTTCCATGCTGCCACTGGGAAGGAAAGAAAAACAGCAAAAAAAAAAAAAATTTTTTTTTTTTAATTAAAAAGTGGAGATTAAATTTACTTTCCAAATTATCGATACTGAACAAAACCACCAAAAGTATCACTTGTGGAGTACACTTAATACCTTAACCACATATACAGACATAAGTGTGTACTGTTCTGAAAATATGGTTTCCTCAGACTAATGAGTTACTCTAAAGGTTTCTTCAGTTATTAGCATTCATTAACTAGTTCCATTTCAAGCATTACTATTCAAAAGAGCTTAAATCTTAAAAAGGGCAATGTTACTAACTCCTTAACCTTTTAAAATTTCAAGTGACAAACAGAATATAAAAGAATGAACTTTATAATCACTGCCCTTATTCTCACTTCCTCTGAAACCGCTAAACATATTCAAATATTCAAATGAGATCTGGATCATCTTCTGCCATTTACAAAGATACAGACCAAGATGACCTTATGACTTCAACACATTAGGAAGGAAGAACAGCTCATCAAGTCAAAGAATGGTGGGCCACAGAGATAATGCTTGTTATCAATTTCTTTATTTTAAGAAGAGAAATGAGGAAGAAAACCAAGGACAAGAACAGATTTTGTCTAAGAATTTCAGAAACAAGAAAAAATTCAATTCCACAGTAATTAGTGACGACAAACTTCTCAACTCTCACCTGTTCCATCCTATACACCAAGTTCTTCAAAGGTCTGAAGATATTTGCACTAATGAATGAACCTTTTCTTTCTATGAAGCAGCAGCTCATCAGTATTATTTTCAGAAACTCAAGCTCCAGTTTTCAATAACAATAGATTTAGTGAGAAGCAAATGGACAGACAGGGAATAAAATTCAAGACAGGAATATGACAAAGTCCGAACACCTGTTTGAACACTCCGATCCCCTTACACAAGGGGAATATGGCAGTGGTTCCCAAACTTTGCTGAACACGGGACACGACTGGGGAACTTTTTAAAAAAATCCCAACGTCCAGGTCATATCTCAAACAATTTAAATCAGACTATCTGGGGATGGGAGGCAGGTATCAGTATTTTGTAAAGATCAGAGGTGATTCCAATATAAAAGCAAAATTTGGGAACCACTACGAAGATAGATTTTCATTGCATTTTTATTCTTAAAACTTTTGTTAAGGTTGCTCATGGGGCATTAAGTTCCCTTTTACAGAAGGTACTCAGAAGATAGGACATATGTTTGGTAAAAAACATTACAGAAGGTATTGTAGACATGTATTTTTCAAGTTTTTACTTTGATCGATTTTTTAAAAAATCAGTGCCATCTTTTGTTCACTTGCTTGAAGATTATCTATAAATAAAACAGATAATTGTTCTGGCTGAATGACATCTTTATTGAGTACTTTCTGTATGCAAAGTGCTATTCTAAATTTTTTTCAACAATCTTCAGAACAAGTGTATAATATAGGTACTATTATTATCCCAACTTTATAAAGAGACTGAGGCTTAGAAAGGCCTGAAGTCATAAATCAAAAAAATTAGATAAAGGTGAGGTTTGAACCAAGGGAGTCTGACAGAATCCACTCTCACTGTGCTCAATTGCTTCTGAGCCCTCTAAAATTTTAAGCAGAGAGTATCATAATCATATTTGCATTTAAGAAATATCACTTCAACAAAGAAAAACAAAAAAGTAAAAAAGTAAACAAAAAAATAATTATAAAAACAGAAAAAAGAATCATCACTTCAGAAGCTATAGAGTACATAAAAGAAATTCAAATATTTATTAATGAGTAAACTGGAAAAAATGAGGAGGTAGATGGGAGACCAGGCTATTACTTACAACTGAACACTCGGCAACTCTTAAATTGTTATTAAAAACAGAGACACAAGAGAATGGAGGAAAACGGAGAAAAGGATGCATATACAGAATTACTTTAATTATGTAAGAAATTATATATGTGAAAAAAAAAGATGAAAATGTTGATAGTGATTATATCCCGGAACTATGAGTCACTTAGTTTCATCTAGATCTTTTTGTTTTCAACATTTCGAATAATGAAAATACACTAACTTTTTTCCTGATTTAAAAAGCATTGTTTGTAAAGGTCACAACAGCCCAGGCAGAAAATGATAAGGGCTTAAAACAGAACTGCAGCAGGAAGGACAACGACAAAAGGGCAGAAAAGAGGGAGGGAAAAGAACGAACCTGACAGCCAACTGTACATTACAGAAGGCAGGGTCGAGGATGACTCCCAGGTTTTTAACACTGCAACTGAGCAGATGGCAGTGACAGTCATAGAACTAGGAGAAAGAACAGGTTTGTGGGAAAAGATGAATCATTCGCTTTTATTATAGAGTTTTAAGTGCCTGGTTAACATCCAGATGTCCAGTGCAGATGTCCAGTACGGGGTGAAAACAAGAGTCTAGACTTCAGGGAAGAAAGGTGGATGAGAAATAAAAAGATTTAAGAATTGAGATACAGGTGGCAATTAAACACAGGTAAAAGTGTGTAGTGAGAAGACCATTAAGAAATAAACCAGGGGAAACTTTTTAAACCTTAAATAAATCATTAGTAAACTTCTTACTATTATCTGATTTAAAAATACTTTTAAACATCAACCATGATAAGTTGTACAAGAAGTTACATGAAAATCATTTGAATGTTTTTAAACTGACTTCAGCTCTATAAGGGGGGGGCAGTGTGTGAATCAGTTTTGAATGTTCCGAGACTTCAGTTAACAAAATAAATAATAAGAAGTATTGTCTTTATACCCAACAGCTTCACAAAAGTCTTAAAAGTGGATTCTCAGTTGGCCTGAGTCCTCTGAGGTAAATCTGGCTCAGGTAAAAGTGATATTCCTTGGAGTGACATGAAACCTTGGTCAGGTAAAACCTACCTGGCCACCCAAATCACATAAACTGCCTTGCTCTAATGATTGGTCCTTCTTCACCAGATTCTCTCCTAATATGACCCGGTCTCTTTTAATTGCTTTTCTTTATACCACACTGACAAAAAAGTTTAGTGTATAAATAACCTATCAAATAACTGATCCAAATACTTCTTCTAAGTCCCAACTGATAATACAAATTTTCTACTAAAGTAGACTATTTTCAGGACCACCAATGTGTTGAACAAGCCCTTAGTCTTATCCCCTATTCACTCCATCTCCAGTTTAACAATCATTAGATTGTCCTTAAACATCTCCACTGAAGGGAACTCAATCTGATATAATCCCAGAAGAATCTCCACAAGAAGCCTCTGTGGGCCCTCTCTCTCTGTATCTTTTCCCCACAGTGCCAATTAGTGTGGCTCCTCCTTCTGTTAGTGTTTGAGCACTTCATCAGTTGAAGCTCTCCACTGAATTCAAGCTGTCTGGGAATGTAGGGCTACATAATTTTAGAACTGGAAAGCTCTTCTGACATCATCCAGGTCTAGCCTTCATTTTATAGATGAAACTATGGTTCAGTGAATAAATGACGTGCACAGGTTATAGTCAGACAATGAAAAAGCTAGAAACCCAAGTCTCTATGTTCTCAGAGTAGTACATGAAATGCTTTCCTAGCTGATAAAATCTACACATTTCTTTGGATCTCTAAAATTACAGTTGCACTTGAGTATTAAAAAAGACGGAACTACGGTAAGAGTATGAGCAGGGTACAGGTAGGACGCTGGAGACCCAGTGCCTCCAGCCATCGCTGCCGCAAGTGTATCCTAGCACGACAGCAAAGGAGTCAGACTTGTCTGGTTAAGAGTGATGCACTACTGTCTTGATAATGCTAATGATTCGATTTATTTTTTGTTTATACTCCATTATCCAGAAAAGATTAGAAGAGATATTTAAAGGTCAGCAGAAAACATGGAAATAATTAGTGATGCCTGAGAACATGCTGCAGAAAAACTCTTAATTTGGAGTTGATATATAATCTAGAAAACTAACAACTAAATATCGGCCCTGATGTGAAGAGTGTAAGACAGAAGAACTTCAAGAAAATAAAGTACGTTGAAACACTTTCTTAAGAGATGTACTAAAAATAAAGCTCACACGGGAAATGTTTTATAGCTAGGTCATGAGCCCTTTGGGTCTGAATAAAAAATGCCTGACAAGGTAGAGAACTTCTCACAATTGAGAAATAGTAACTAATTTTCTTCCAGGCCCTCTTCCGGGAAAGAACAGTTTCCAGAGGAATAATAATACAAGAGTGATTGTGCATCACAATTTTTCTCCCAAGCAACGCCATGAAATGCCTTGAAAAGAAACAGTAATTGTTACCTGAGCACCACTACAATCGGACTTTCACTTCCGGTTATGACCATTAACCCCTTCCAGATCATTAGTGCTGAGGAGACAATCATTCCAAAATTTAGGACTTGATAATAGAGCTGTAGGAACAAAACAGAAGAGATCAGATCCATGATTATCCCCACTCAGGAAAACAACTGGAAGTAGCATCAATTTAAAAGTGTCAAGTAGCACTATCAGGGCACCTGGAGTTCTGAGATACTATTTAAAATACCGTAAGAATTACATCATCAGCATCCCAGAACAGCCCTCCTTCTCTTACCCCAAGTGCCCTGCTCCATTCTGTTTGCTAAAATACATTACATTTATATGACAACTTATCATTTTCAGAACCTTTCACATAAGTTATTTCATTTGGGCTTCACAACCATTCAGCTTAAATTCAATCACATCCATGCTACCTACCAGCTGACAGTAATAAACCTCTGCTTCTGAACTCCTCTAGTACTTACCTTTTCTACATTATTTCCCCCATGGCAATCACGGGCTGTTCAATGACATTTAATCCCACTCCTCATTTTACAATTGTGGAAACTGTCTCAGAGGGAGGAATTGACTTCACCAAAATCATACAGCTTGGTGGTCACATAGCCAGCCTTCTTTCTGTCTTAATAAATTTCTACGACTTAACAAATTGTAAAATTCTATTACTTGAATAAGCAGATACAATACCAGAAAGGCACTTCAAGTGAGAGAAATAATGTGAGCTAATTGTGTTGGACTAAGGCTGGATGATGGGTAAAAGTAGAGAGGATGACTGGACACCATGGCAGATTGATAAGAAAGGAATAGATGGTATTGGAAAGTACTGGGAGAAATGTGAAAAAGCATATTAAGCTCAGATTATGGAGAACCTTGAATGTACCACTGAAAATGTGAAACTGGAAAGACATTCATAAAATACTTTAAAGTGAAAAACAAAAGTTTCAAAAGTATATACAATATAAATTCAATTTTTGTTTTTTTAAAAAATATATGTGCATGTGGGCATTCTATAAGACAACTGTTCCAGTCTTCAAAAATTCATTATCCTGAAAATAAAGGTGGGAAACTATTCTAAAGAGACAAAACCTAAGACAGAAAATTCAGCAAAATAAAAGCTGATAGAAATTTTAAATACTATCATTTAATAGGCCATAATCTGAAAGTTATGTACTGTTCATTTATCTACTATAGTTATCAAACATACCAATTATGTTTCTTATTCTCATAAGATTTATCTGAAGTTCAACATAGAGGATATTTTCATAGAAGTCAGACTTCCAGCAATCTCAAGAAAAGATAGAAATCACCATGGAAGTATCTTCAAGTGTCGTCAAAATGTGTGTTAGAGCTACAAAACAAAAGTTGGCCTAAATCTTAAATTCTACTTACCTTAGGACCTCAAACTAAGAATCTCATTAATCCATAACCACAATCCCCCTGCTTTCTAAATCACAGAAGTGACCAGAAGTTAGGGTATTCGAGGCAGATAGACTGACAACAGCAAGATGTAATATTAGTGGCGTTGGAAAAACTGAAGCACGTTTGGAATAGACACTGTTATTACGGCCCAATAAAGTCACTGCTGGTCCCAGTGAGGATCTTAAATCATAACAACAACAAAAATCCTGAGTAGCAACAGGCATAACATCAATAACAGTAAGACAAGTTTCATTTTAAAAAGACTGTTAAAATATTTTAAAATCTGACCAATGAAAACATATCTACACAACACATGTACAGCAGCTCATTCCTAATAGCCTCAAATCGGAAGAAATGAAACATCCATCAAGAGATGAATAAATTGCAATATTTTCATATGATAGAATACTACTCAGGAATAGAAAAGAATGAACTACTGACACAGGCAACACAGATGAATCTCAAAAATGTGCTGTTTGGACCAAGTTGGAGTGCCAGGGACAAAATTTACCTTCCTGCCTGAAATAACTAAAACACTGAACAAAATATAGAAAGCAAAGGTTTTCAGACATGTGGCTGAATGGACATGTGGCTGTGCCCAGGCAGCACAAGGCTGTGATTCCTTACGAAGGAGAAATACAAAGAAGGTGAGCCCTACGATTGTCCCAACTTACAAACTGGAGAGTTTCCAGACTAGGGCAAACGGGAAATGTAGACAGAGCCTGGGAGTCTCCTTGCTTGATGATGAACTGAGAGTTTGGGGAGGTGAGGGTAGCCAGAGACTGCAGGGCAGCACGGAAATGAACGCGGCATAAAGATCTGCAGCGGATCTCTCCTCCAGCCCTCAGCTGAGAGGTGATCAGCGAAGACCAGCATGTGTGTGAGAGAATTGCCAAGGACGGAAGAGGAACCATCGAAAAAGAGCAGATGGAACAATTCTCAATGCTCACATGGGGCAGGAATAGTTTAGCAGTCTTGAAAGTACTAAGAGAAAAACTACCAACCTAGAATTCTATACCCCAAGAAATTTCTCTCAAAAGTGAAGGCAAAATAAAACCTTTTCAAACACACAGAAGCTAAAATAATTCATTAGCAGACTTCTAATACAAAAAAAATTTAAAGTCCTCCAGGCAAAAGGAAAATACTAAACAAAATCTAGATTTACACACAGGAATGAAGAGCACTGGAAACAGTATATGCTGGCAAATATAAAATATATTTTTTCTTATTTAAAATTTGTAGGATGCACCTAAAATAGTACGTAGAGGAAATTTTATAGCAGTAAATGCCTCAAATTATATGTTGTGTTGTTTACACGCAGTTCAACATTTTGTAATTTCCTTTGTGATTCTCCTTTGACCCATGGGTTATTTAGAAATGCATTATTTAATTTCCAAATATTTGTGAATTTTCCGAATTAAGCTTCCACCTTATAACACTAGAAAAAGCAAGTGAAACCCAAAGTAACTCACAGAAAGGAAATACTAAAAATAAGGAGAAATAAATAAGACAGAAAATAATAAAGAAAATCAAACCAAAGTTTGGTTCTTTGAGATCAAATGGTCAGACTAATCGGGAAAAAAATAGAGAAGAAATAAATTACTAATATCAGGAAGGAATTAGAAGTCACATCATTAATTACAAATTAATTTGTGTTAATATCTCAATATTAAAGGGATAATAGGTATTATGAATACCTTTATACCAATATATTACCAATTCCTTGAAAGGCACAGGCTATCAAAGTTCACTGAAGAAGAAATAGATAACCTGAACAGAACTATGTCTATTAAAGAAATTGAATCTATAGTTAAAAAACCTTCTCAAAAAGAAAAACACCATTCACTGGTGAATTCTACCAAGGATTTAGTGAAAAAATCATAACGACTCTACACCAACTCTTCCAGATAACTGCAGAAGATAGAATATCTCCCAACTCATTCTATGAGGCCCCCACTACTGATACCCAAACCAGACAAAGATGCTACAAGAAAACTATATAACAGTATTGTGGATATAGATATAAAATTTATTTGCCATATTTTAGCAAGTCAGATACAGTAATATATACATCAGGAGCAAGTACAATGTATCACAGGATAAAAAGATGGAGACCTCGGTATCCCTTTCTAAACAGCTGATAGAAGCAGAAAGAAAACCAGCAAGGATATGGAAAACTTGAACACCATCAAACCATTAAACATCTGTAGAACACTCCACTCAACACAGCAGAATATACAATCTTTTCAAAGACACAGGAAACATTCTCCAGAAACCAGGCTCTAGGTAAATAAAAAAGAGCTTCAAATTTTAAAAGACTGTAATCATATAAACTATGTCCTCCAACCACAGTGGAATTAAATTGGAATTCAGCACTGGAAAAAAATTTGGGAAATCCACAAATATTTAGAAATTAAACAACACTTTTCTAAGTAACCCATGTGTCAAAGAGGAATCACAAGGGAAATTACAAAATATTTTGAATTGAGTATAAACAAAAATATACACTGCTTAGAGGAAACTGTATAGCTTTAAACATATATTAGAAAAGAAAGATCCAAATCAGTAACCCCAGATTGCCCTTTAAGAAACTAGAAAAAATAGCAAAGTGTTAAACACAAAGCAACCAAGGAAGGAAATAAAGTTTGGAGCAGAAGTCAATGAAATAGAAAACAGATGAATAATAGAGAAAAAAAGCAATAAAAGTAGAATTCAAAGAGACGGAAAGTAGAATGGTGATTGTCAGGGGCTGGGTGGAGGGAAGAACAGAGAGTTTTTAATGGGTACAGTGTTTTAATTTTGCAAGAAGAAAAAGGTCCCGAAGACTAGTTGCACAATAGTGTGAATGTACTTAGTACTACTGAACTCTACACTTAAAAATGGCTGATAAACTTTGTTATGTGTGTTACCACAATTTTAAAAAGTGACGCTAAATGAAAACAGACAACTACAAAAGATTACGTTTTATTCCATTTATATAAACTGTGCAGTGAAGGCAAATCATAGGACAGAAAGCAGGTTAGTGATTGCCTGGGGCTGGAAGTGGGAACAGGCATTGAGTATAAAAGTGCATGGAGGATTTTCTGGAAAGATGGAAATGTGAAACTGGATTGTGGTGATGGTTGCACAAATCTACAAATTTACTAAAAAAAACATGAACTGTACACTCAAATGGGTGAGTTTTATCTTACTATGTCCCCCATCATCTTTAAGTAGCTGACCTGAAAGACCAGGAGGCCAGTTATCAATTTATTATCTCTTAGCTCCAAATCCATCCTTGTGTTACTAGAGCTGAACCCTATAAACAAATTCTTGTCTAACTGGCTCAATGATGTTAGGTTTTATGAATAAAAGGTGCTGAAGGGCCACACTACAAGGTAATGGGGAGGAAAGGGCTTCTCTTCTCAGTTCCATGTTTATTTCACACAGTGGACAGTGGATCTGTGTGCAGGGGTTGGTGGTGCTCACCTCAGTGACTATCAGAGACTGGCTCCCACCCACACACACTGACAAATTTCTCAGCCTCCTAGCAGGCCACTTCTAGGGAGCAGCTCCAGCTCACTCGCTACCATGACAGGTTCCTATGGCAGCCACACCCTTTCCAAAGAGGTCTAAATCTCAGGCTTGGAAGGGGGTTGAAGGAAGGTTTGCTTAGTTCTTTCCTCGTTCAAGCTCC